AATAGGACAGAGAAAAGCAATTTCTGATTACACAGACGTCTTTTTGCCATTTAACAGGGTTTAAATTGAATCACTGACCTAAAATATTAATTTTGAAAATGACTCGTAAAAAAATATTCAGAAAAAGTTGTTGCTGCTTTCAGTTTTGTTCTCTGAAGACTGCTGAATGACACAAAAATGTATCTAGCATTGTCTGCTTGTTCTAAATAATCCCTTTTAGTAGGATTAGTCACAGTATTCAATAAAGAGAAGGAGCAATTAATTACATTTTATGAAATGAAGAAAAGAAGAATCTCTGAAATGTTCTTTCCTCCTCACCTTCTCCTTTTGAAACATAAAATTGCATTATGTATTTTTCAGTTACGGAAAAACTTGCAGTCTTCAATTTAAACAAAAGCAGTGGGAATGAGCAGTACATGACACAAAATTAATTTGGATTGACTTTTTGGTACACTAGGGGAATGTATTGCCAAAAAGCAAAGTCTGCTTGATCTATAACAACTGTTAATCCATGAAGCAAGGCTCTGATACTGCAAAGAGCTGTCAGGGATTTTGGTTCAAAACCTGTGCTCAACCCAAACAAATTGTTTTTTTGGAAGTTTGAAAAATTGAATGTGGTCCTACTTGTCCTCATCACCATGGCATGAGTTTGGTTAGTATGATAATGATACAATGTTCATTAAAGCCCTTAAGGGGTTTTTCTAGCTTTTGTTACAAGGCTTGCATAACAGCTAAAAAGCTCTGAATATTCCTCTGTGGAAAAAAAGGCATGAGGTTAAACTTCTGGAAGAAATAAGACTAGGTAGATAGCTACAGAGGAGAGCAGTGTAATAATAAGGATGTATGATTAACTCTTTGATAAACTTGCAGGAAATGACCACAGATTATTATTAAGAGAGACTGCAGGGGCAGTGGGGGCAGAAAACACAATATTGAGAAACTGCAATTTTCCATATGTAGGTTGTGTAAATGGTACACAGGGGCACGAAGCCTCTTGGAAAGATTAATTTCAGAACCCCCAAAAGGGAAACAACTCTTATTAGTCTGAAATGGTACATCAAGCCCACATCAATAAGTAATTGTGCAAGAACCACATTCTCTCACTAAATTTAATGTGGCTGTAATCGAACCACCTGCTAGGAACAAAAACGCTTTAAAAAATTGACTGCATAAAAGTTTTCTACCAGAAAGAAAGAAACTTAAGGAAAATTGGAAGGGAGAAGGGTAAAATGCTAGTAGCCAAGTGTGAAAGCACTGAAGGACTCAATGCTGAATGCTTAGAGGATGTGCATGGCACCTATAAAAAGGCTGCTATTCAACAGACACCTATGCAGTTTATAATTACAAAGGAAATTATTAGGCTAGTGATAAAGCTTGCTGGTGACAGAGAGTTTTTCAGGATTACTGAATGCAAAGAGTTGCAAGAAAAAGTCTCACATGAAACTAATGACTGGGTTCAAATTTGCGGAAAAGTACTTGTAGATAAATGACAGGTTATGTGCATAGAACAAAATAACTAAGGGTACAGGCACATTGGTACCCTCTGTTCTTGTTCAGAAAAAAGATATTAAAGTCAACATCAGACACATCTTCATTGCTTTGAAAAGTACTAGGTCAGTGTTCAAACCTGGTCGAAAAATTATTTAAATATTAAGAACAAAAATAAAAATGCAGAAGAATGTTAGAAGACAAATATCTGGTGCACCCATATCTTGAATATTTCATGAAATTCAGGGTTTCTCCATCTCTGGAAAGATCGAGACGAACCAGTAAAGGTCCTTATATCGGGTGCAAACTGATTATGTATGAGGACAGATTAATGGGCTACAGCTCTTTACCTAATTCAATAGAATGTCATCATAAAAGCGTCTTAAAGGAAGTGTATACTTCATACCGCTCCTGAGGGAGATAGCATCCTGGAATCCACAAATTTTATTAAGTTAGTGAATAGAGAGTAAATTTCAGTGCTTTCTTGCAAAAGAACAACCACAGGGAGAGATTTAAAACAGAGAGAACCATCTTTAAAAAAAAAAAATATAATTAATTTTCAAATTCGTTTGACATGTGAATTTGTGTAATCAGAAGTACAAGTGAGTCCAAGAAAGTATCCATGGAGGACAGATCCATCACTGGCTAACAGATACAGTTCTTAGGCTGCCAGCCGCAGGAGGCAAAGAGAGAAAGCATCACTATTCTTCCTTCTTTCTTTCCTGAACATCTGGTGCCGATTGCTGCCACAGCCCCATGCTGCAGGGACATTTGCTCTAACCCAGGATGAGTTTCCTCTGCCCTAATATTGTTTTCACCACCTTCAAGCTTCTGTATTTATTGCAATCTGGGACAAAGTTAATTTTCATTTAAAGTACCATAATTCAGTCATTATGACAAATGCACTTCCAGTTATCTGAACCCTTGTTTTATAGTGACTGGATGGTGCAAAATCACCTTAAATTATATTTTGAACTACTGGTCAAAGAATATTCTAGGGGTGTGACACTGAAGGACCAGGAAGACCTTATTGTGCTCTCTCAATGACAAAAGGGGGCTTGTAAGAAAGGTGGAGAGGGACTTTTTAAACCAAAATAGGGTAGATTTATATTAGATATAGGAAGAAATGTTTTATGATGATGGTGATGAGGCACTGGAACAGGTTGGTCAGAGAAGTTGTGGATGTCTGACCCTTGAAAGAGTTCAAGGCCAGGTTGGACAGGGCTTTCAGCAACCTGATCTAATGTAAGATGTCTCTGCCCATGGTGGGGGGTTGGAAAAAGGTGGTCTTAAGGTTCATTCCAATGCAAACCATCCTATGATTCTATGAAATATTGTCTCCAGTATCATCAACTTGTCAGTATGAGAGGAGTTGCAGGAGAAGCAGATCTGAACTGTTTCCACTGAAAGGGAGGTAAGCAGGCTCATGTCACTGCTAGGCTGCAGTCAGGCCCTTGGTGTTCGTGCCTCCTTGCCAGCTAGCATGCCATCTCTGAAACAGCACCTATACTGCAGAGTCAGTTTAAATAGTTACAACAGACAAGGACCTTAATATCACGGAAAATAAAGAAATTATTTTTTCGTGAGCTGCCTGCCTTAGGTGAATGTGGCTATGTGGTGATCTTGGAGCCTGACAGGATTGGCTTTGGTTAAATACAATCATATGCAATAATTCACATGGTAATTTGTGTGGAGAGTGTGATATTGCCCAATGCAGACGCTCTGTTTCCTAGAATTATGCATTTTTAAACAGAATACCTCACTCATAGCTTTTAAAACAATCTACAAATTTATCTTCACAACAATAAAGTTTAGTTCAGTGTGAGATTGTATTAATAAGCTGTAATTTCTTATATGATACTTGATTTTTTTTAATTAAAAAGGCTATAATATTTCAATGTCAACATCTCAACTACTGCTAGAAGACCTGAGCTTTTGGAATTAATTTCTGTTCATCTCAAACAAGTGAAACCTACAGGCAGAGCAGTCACATAACTGAATGGTAAAAGACCCTATCTCTTCAAATCTTGCCTTTTGATCCTCACATAGCCACTGAGACACCGATTGCATCATTCAGTGCAGGGAGAGTGTTTTCCTATCTCAGCTGGATTGCATACTATTATTCTTCTAATTGTAAAATGTCTCTTTTTCTGAGGCAAAATGGATTTGATGGTGAGTAGCCACCCCAATAGCCATGGAGAGGCTGCATGTACAGAGCTTCTGCTAGCATTTTCTTTACTTATGTTTCTTGAAAGAATCAAGTCTGCACTTTTTTTATTTTTCCTTGAAAGATCCGTTATTTCTCTGTAGAAGCCAACACCCCAACAGTTTAACCAAAAGCAGGTTTGCCATTGTAACTTGAAGTGGTATGTGTAGAAATATCTGGCCAAACTAGCACAGATGTTTTCACTGAGGAAAATATAAGATTGGATAAATATCACTAATTCTATTGCTTTTCATTTTCAGTGTTTTAGTATGTGCCCTTTCCATTCTAGTACTATTACAGGATCGTTTCCTATTCTTATTTCTCATTTAACATTCATGTGATGTAGCTGAAACTTTGCTGAAGTCCCTGCTGTGCACTAAGACCTGATTGACCTTGATGTTTATTGTGAATCACTCCAGAGATGCTCAGTCTGAGGGCAGGAGCCAACCTGCAGCACTGCCATTTGGTAAATTCCTGCCAAAGTCTGAGACCAGTTTGCCCAGGCAAAAATTTTTATTGAACTAAGAGTGATATTTGAACTGGGTTCTGACTCAAGCAAAACTGGGCTGCTTGAGTTTCACCATCATAATGATGAGATGATCTCCACATCACGTTTGTCTTCTGGGTAGGTGTTTCAAACAGGAATAGGATTATCTAATTATTTGTTTTCATGATATATGTTTGTTAATGAAAGAAGTAGACAAATGCTAGTTGACTAAGTGTCTTTCGCCCATACATTGATGATTTAAATGTATTCCAGGCTAATAGTGACTGTTCATTTTTTCTGCTCTGTTGCTGATGTCTGTCAACAAAGGAGGAGAAATGGGCAGGCAGTTTTATTCTATTCCTTTTTTATGGTCAGCAGGGTCACTAGCATGGCTGTTGTAAGGACCATATACGCACCATGCTGGTCTTCGAGAAGGGCTTCTTTCAGGGCTGCAGATGAGCATTAGGTGAGGGTAAAAACATTCCAGGTTGTTTGCCACTGACCAAGTGGTAGCAGTTCATTGAGAAAAAAAGACTGTTATGTTTATTGCTAGTCTGAAATGTCACTTGTTTCAATATTTCTAATTTCTGCTGTGTTTTTAAAATGTGTCAGTGTGGTAGGGACTCTTTAGAGAGAGATAGTACAGTGTTAGACATGATAAAGGTAGTATAACAATATGTAGCACAATGGAAGATAAATGATGTACTCCTGCGGTGCAAACCACTGGCTGCTAGTGTGTCAGAGCCAGTCCCTGTCCTTATACTCTGTATTCATTAGCGTCTCAAGGGATACTTATTCACCTTATCTGTTCTGTTCTAGTGATACACCATTTTTCAAGAGAAGAGAGGCACACGCGAGTGATAAAAGAGATGGCTCGCATCTTGAGAGTAGGAGGCCAGATAATGATATATGTGTGGGCAATGGAGCAAAAATGGAGAAGATTTGAAAAGCAAGACATCTTTGTTCCTTAGAAACCTTCACCTCCTTCCTGCTCCTCAGGTGAGCCTTCCTCACATGGAGTACAAAAATCAATTCTTCACAAGGACAAAGCTGGCTTTGAACCAGCCCTATCATAAGTTGGATGGGACTCCAGGACAGCAAGGAGCTCATCCTGCAGAGGGTAGAAAAAAATCACCGTGCACAGTGTCGGAAAAAATCTCTGAGATGCTCTCTATTTGCAAGATTGCTTGACTCAGTATTAGATTTGGGCAATCAATAGCACCAAGAAAGGCTCATTAGTTACTACAATTACAGTGTTCAGCTGAATGAATTAAAAAGGAGGGGAAAAGCTGGAAAAAAACCAGAGAGCGTGGCTTTCTGAAAATTTCTTCTGACTTTTTTTACATTGCAAGCTGAGTTTTGAAAATACAACAACTTTTGAACTGGCTGTTAAACCTGTGCTGTCCATGTCACTGTGCTGCTCAAAGGCTTTCAGAATTAGGACAAGCAACTATACAGCTCCCTAAGGCTGCAGGTACTCTTCATGGTTGCAGAAGAGTGTATTTACCTGACCTGATTTCACATCAGAAAGAATTAGCTGTCAGACAACTTAAAATAGACCACCACCCAAACCAAGGAGCATTCTGCCAATCTAGGAGCAAAAGCAGAGTAGGATCTTCTATGCAGAAAACAGTCAGTGAGTATGCCCTGACCATGCACGCCCAACAGCAGACAGGTCCTGGTGGGCCTGACTGGGGGTACTGCCATGTTTTTATAGAAAAGAAATTGGCCGAGCTGATAGAGCATCATATTTCGGAGGTATGTATTACTCATTCATACTTTGACCATGCCAACTGGTGTGAGATCATAGAAAAGACTTAAGTGTGGAAGACCTAGGGAAAATTCCCTTATTGAAATGCACAAGGAATACTTAGAGGCTTTCTTCCTTTTGAAAGCTCCAAGCCTTTGAAAATCTTTCCTGAAATTTTTATAGCCTTGGGTTTGTTTTGGGGAGAGGGGTATGTATGAGGAGAGTGCTTTGAAACTCTCAGGTTCTGTAAGTTTGTTTTCTTTGATTTTGTTCTTAAAATACATGTCTATTGAAATTTTTTTCCTAGAGTTATTATTTCAGGCTGAGCATATTTTAGCACACTGATCCCTTTTCATAAACAGCTGCCAGCTGTGTTTTGTTGCTTGAAAATAACTAAAATATTGTTGGAAGGTGATTGCTGGATTATTTTTTATGTGTGCATTAAAAGTCTTTGTTATTCATTATTACTATATAATCATTCATGTCAACTTTTTATTTTAAAATTTATTGTACTCTGCCACTTGATGTAACATAACAAGGAAAGGAATTGAAAGATGCACTATTTTATTACAGTTCCACTTTGTCAGCCCATATGATACTTCCAGTCATATGAGATAGACTGTCTTCTGTGAGGATTACTGGGTGTACAGAACCCTCATGGTAGAGGCAGTAACTCATGACACTGTCATAGTTCAGTGATCTTTTTCATTGCCTTGTAGCAGTCACAGCCAAGAAAGCAAAGAGATATTTGGTTTCCTATATGTCACAACATGACCCCTCAAAAACATGGTTTTAAAGGTAAGCTTAACATGTATGTTTAAGGATACAGCATATATAAATATGATAAACAAGCTTAAGGGTTGCTTTTTCTCCTTGTCAATAAAACTACAAGTCAGGATCTAACAACTCATTTATGTCTGTACAGTGAGTGAGCATAGCACAGAAAAGTGTTCCAGTGACCACAAGTCAATTGAGAAAATATTTATTAACAGAAGCATGCAATTCTAATGCTTTTATCTGCAGATTTGCCTTTTGCGAAGATGAGAATAATTACCTCATTTTTATAGATAGAGAAACTGAAACAATTTACTGCTAGAGGTTGCAATGTAAAGTAAATATTAGGAAGAAAACCAAACAATAATCCCAAACAACACAGTTGCTTTGCCGATGATTATTTATTAATGTCTGCCCGTAATTTTACTTCCTGCCTTTGTTTCTGTGGATTTGTGAAGCAGCAAGTCAGAGATCAAATTTGTTTTCTGAGAAATAAGCTCCTGCATGTTCTTTATATGCCTGTCAGTAGCAGGTGTATACCCTGTTTTCAGATGTAACATGGAACAGTGCAGTAATCTCAGGTTTTTAATGCAGCTTCAATTTGATTTGGATGTAATATCTGCAATCACATTTTCTTTACTTCCTTCCGTGGAGTTCACATCGGCAGTATCATAGTACATCTTGTATTTTCAGGTGGAAAAGCTAGATAGGCTAATCAGTGTCCTCCATCTGTAATGACTGCCTTTGCAGTGCTCCTTTTCCCCCCCTTAAATGTTAGCATCATTGTCTGAGAGAACAAAATAATTTTCAGCCACAAAATGTTGCTGCTGTTCAGCTCTGATGACACCACTCCCTTCAGTTCACACACTTGTTCCACTGCCAGAAGAATTTGACAGCATCTCCCTATTTTTCAGTGCATCTTCACGTTGCCCAAAGCAGCAGCAACAGCACCTTGCAGCTCTGAGCCTCTCCATCATGTCTGCTCCAAGGGTTCAACAGGCTGTTAACCCACACAATGCACAAGAAAAATGCTCTGATGATAGCTACCAGTCCTTGCTTTCAAGCACACCTAACATTTATTTTTCCAAGAACAATACAGGTATTTTATCTGAACCTGACTAGTCCTTTTGGAATGTTTTAGCCTGCTCCAGAATTCCCGAAATGAAAGGTGCTCACCATCTCCAGTTCTTCCCTCGGATGCAATGAGTCAGCACTGGATTTTTCCTAATGATATCCCTGTCTACCTGCTCTAGGCCAGCTGTTTCCAAACGAGATCTGTGACACAGAGACAATACTCGCCTAACTGGAAGGAATTTTAATCTCTGGACAACTGTTAGTGGCTCTAAAAGCAACTCTCACCTTCAACAATGAGCTCATGTACTTATTTTGAATGAAAAAAACTGCAAAGGACCACTTCTTCTGTACGGAAATTCTGCCTAAGGCATGGGTTAGACCTACTTCCACATGGGATGGTTCCACTCATGATGGCTGCCTCTGGGCTTCCTGGGATCAGAGTGAATTCAGACTCTCGCAAATGAAACTGCTCCAGGACAGGGTCCTGACTACGCAGGGGAAAAAAGGCAAAAACATGGATTTGTTTGTAAAGGATCATGTATTAATAAATTCTCACATTTATGCATGTCAGAAATGTTATAAAGCCATAAGCTCTATTTGAAATTCTCATTTTGAACAGGATGCCAGCAGCACAACCAGGACTGAATGCATTCCTACATTTCTACATCACAGCCTGTATTTGCAGTCCTCAGGGTAGGCACTACCTTGCACAAAGGAATATAACAGGGAAATGCTCTGCACTCCTGAGCAGCACTTGATCCTAATTTGTTTTCCCTTTACGCTCTTTGGTGTTCTGAGATGGATTCTAGAATAGAAAGGTACAATTTTTCTGGCTTTCAGTTTAGGCATCTAGTCTGTGTGTAAGTCTAGTTTTGTGCTCCATATTGCCTGTGGAGTTAATGGCAAGGACTAACCCCTTTTGAGGGGTGAAATACACCTAGAAGAGCTGTTGGGACCTGCTAGCTTGTGTTCAGCACCTGCTCATCTTTTTCCATTGCTTGTGGAAAGAGCTTAGAGAGGATCTCAACCTTAAACACTGACACTTCAATGCTTCAGTTAGGAGAGATGGATCCTACCTAAGCATCCTTTAAGTTTTAAGGATGGGAAAAAGAAGCATGAACAACATTCAAATCAGGCGGATTCATGCTCTCCTTGGCCTTTTGGCCAAGCAATGCTGACTACGTATCCCTATTTTGTAGAAACCATGAAGAAAAATTCCATGCTAAGCTGGGAGAAAAGACAAAAAGCAGCAGCCTGTCTCAGCTCTTCCTTACAGCATCCGCCACTCTGAATTTACAATTATTTGAGGCCTTACCTGTCCAAGGGACACTTTCAGAAAAGCTTCCAATGTCTGACACTATCTCTGGTCTACCAGTGATGTTCCTCTTTACAGATACTAATATAAATAAAATCAATGTTTTCCCACTTTTTTTTCTGATTTAGAGATCCCAAAAAATTCCCCAGTGTTTGAGATTTCTGTTTTCTGCACAGGCAGTTGCTGTGCTGTTCCTAACTTCTTTGTGGAGTTCTGCAAAAATTGTCCATAGCCACCCCAGGATCCATGAGCACAGCTCGGCGTGCTCTGTTCTGTGCTTGCCACATGAAGCACTGTCAAATTGAGTCCCACACAGCCCACGTGAAGTTGGCACAGCAGCAGCAGCTGGTGCTGCTCATATCACTAGGGCTAAGACACTGTGAGCGAAACACTGTTTATCCTCCTTCGGCATAAACAGGTTTGATGAGTGTGAGCCTATCATAAAAGATTTTTGCCCACTGGGTAAATGCCTTTCTTCTAATTGTCTGCTAATTGTCAAACAGCTAACCTCACTTTTTATCAAAATTCTTTCTCCAGAGAAAACTCAGCCAAGAGTTTCATAAATCCTTTTCCCTCATCCTTTTTAATTTTAAAAATTGTTCCAAGTATAATTGGTAGCTATCACCTAAGGAGACATTCCGTTTGAGTTAATCAGCTCCTGCAAGTTTATCTGTGAAGTATTTGAAAATGCCTTAGCCAGCATCTGGCTTTCTATCTTAATTAGTAACTACTGGCCTAAAATTGTCACATACCATAGGCATTTGTACTGACCTCTCAAATTAAGATCATCCACAAAATTAAAAGAGGAAGAAGCCTATTTGGTCACTTACTCTATCCTTCAAAGTGCATTTGTTATTCATGGTGTGTGGCAGGGAATATAAGTGTAGGGTATGATTGAGAACACCGTAGGTAATTTGACTTTGAAATGTAAATAAAATTAATGAGTATACCTGTCTTCCCCCAGTATCTGTCCTTGCCTGCTTCATCATTCTGACTTCTTTCTTTCTTTTCTTCAATAGGGCTCCTGATTTTCTTCCTTCTCACTCAAGACAAACATTTTGCAGAATTCCAAGAAAAGCACAGAAAATATTCCATGGTTTTCTCGAAACACATGCTTTACTAACATGCCTTACAGATTTCATTGTGACCAGAAGTGTGTTAAGAGTTCCCTTGATAATTTGGCACAACAAATCGTTTGACATGAACATACTATCACAAGTTTAAAAAAGAACACCAGCTTGCTTGCAGTGAAAGCCAACATTGGCAACATTTAGCTACAGTGAAACTGTGCCATTCACTGGCTGCCACAGATTGCCAACTAAAAGCCTCACATTTAAAACATCAAAGTAAATTGTCCCGAGTAAAACCAAGAAAAAATTATTTGGGGAAACACTGGGTCAACCAAGAGAGGGAGCAAGACAGTAGGTCTCCAGCTCTCAGTCTTCTACTGGCCCCTAACCAAAATTTGCTCTTTGTAACTGTATATAGTTGCTTGAAAAGAGGTCAAAAACACCCAAAAAAGACCAACACTACTCCAAGTCTTGGGACAGGACTGGAGATCAGCTCCAAGAAGGTGCCAGGACGGAGCTGGTGGCTGCTAGGATAAACAGAGATGGACCAGTGGTGAAGTTAAGTGCTTCTATTATCTGATGCCTCCCTCCTGTTTCAGAGATGCCAAACCCATCTCCTCTGAAATACCACCTAACGCTCAAATGATTGGGACAATATCTACTAACTCCAGGACTGCTGAAACAGACTATAGAATATCTTCCAGAAATTGAGCACACACACTGTACACTATTGCAGAAGAGAATCTGTTATAGGAATGTTTAGCTATTAATAGGATCAATTTTTAGACAAGCAAAGCATCCACCACTTTAAAAAGAAAAAAAAACACAACCAAAACCAAAACGAAACAAATAAAACAACAAAAAAAAAACCAACCCAAACCAACCAACCAAACAAAAAACAACCTGGGGTAGGCACCAGTTGTCCTAGTTAATTTGGACAGAAAACAATTTCAGTTTTGGTAACAGAGAAAATTCTGAGTCAATTGTTCAGTGTGTTGAAGTTAATGGCAAACTATTTTAATCTTGGTCATTCTTTGATATACAACTAATTCCTGACATGCAACTTCCATGATATACTATTGATCAGCCTTCAGGGCACATCCAATAAGAGAGGTTAATTTCTTTTGCATGCTTACACATTCACATTCCTTCCCTCCTTAGGGAATGTAATGATCAAGAGAAGTATTTTGGCCTTCAAGAACTAGAAACACATTTGACTGTCACCAACTTTCATTCAGCAGACTGCTACTCTGGGGTTTGGTTGAAACAAATTCATACAGCATTAATTGTTTGTGCATGAAAAAAAAATGTTAAGCAAGAGGACCAAAGGCTGCTCAAGCATACCACATCTCTTTCCAACAAGACAAATTACAGCTATTATTTTATATCAATTAGCTGTAATAATCTTGAATACCCTGCACTGGAAAAAAAATTTGAGATATTGAGCTCTTATCTACCTTACTTTCTACCTTGTGATAATCAGGGTACTTTGTTGGTTGAGAAGGGGATATTCCTCATGCCAGCTTTGTTCATATGAATTTATTCAACAAAATACATTTTTTAATCAGTCTTCCAATCAGATAATATGTTTATTGTGATTAATTCTCAAGGAGAGTTGTTTACCATGGATGTCTAAAAATAATACAATTTTAAAAATAACATTCCTCACAGGAGTTAATGCTTGGACTTCAGAAATGGAGAATAAAGTATGAATGCACCATTTGTCCTTTGCACAGCCAGTCTTTGCAGAGCAGAGAAAGTCTCACCAGAATTTGCTGCCTTTAGTTTCTTGATTATTTTTTTTTTAAATCAGTTTCACCTCTGGCTTTCTGTGCTAGCACAAAGCTGACTCCTCTGCAACCTCTTAGACTTGTTCAGTGCTTAAGTCCCACTCAGGAGGGAGCAACTTGGAGTTTTCATTTTGAACTAGCAGGAGGTGTCGCTGGATGAAAGCAAGAGTAAACCCCTCAGCATGCAATTCAGAAACAATTCTAAGCAGGTCTCAAAAGATGAAATCAGCTGAAGAAACGGATCATCTAGAGGTTGGTCCTGTGCTATTCAGTGTTTAAAAGTCTATCTGCACTGCCGCTCCCACTTGATCTGTGAAGGTGTGCAGCGCTCGGTGTAGATCTAGCACAGCACTGTCACTGGGCTCTGTGTGTGCAGGTTGTTGGATTAGATGATCTTAGAGGTCTTTTCAAACCTAAATGATTCTATGATTCTGCTCCAGGCTGCAGAGACAGTTGTGCCCACCCCAGGAGACCCTTGTTTGCCAGCCTAAAGTTCTGTATTTTTGGTAAAAGGGTTTTTGGTAAAAGGGAGTACCACAAGAGGAAAAAAAGGCAGGACTCCTTATTTCTGACAGCCCCCTGCTCATACATTCCCATCAGTGCCATTTGCCAGTGCACAGCACAAGGGTGGAGGAGGTTACCGGCCCTTGCTTCCTCCAGCACAGCCCAGGACCTCAGTTCTCAATCATACTGCCTCTAGGGCAGCTACCAAGGAGGGAGGTGAAGCAGCATCCAAGGCAGTTAGCCTCTAAAATGTTCCCAGAAAGCACTGATCATTATCACAGAATCTCTCAAGGTGGAAGTGACCCCTAAGGATCATCAAATTCAATTCCCTGCTCCTCACAGGACTAACTAAAACTAAACATATGATGGAAATCATCACCCAGACACTCCTTTGAACTCTAACAGGCTTGGAGGCATGACCACTTCCCAGGGAGCCTGTGATGGATACTAAGGCAAAATTTCCCGAAAAATTACTAAGCAAGAAAGACATGTGCAGAGTCTTATGAGATACTGTGCTCACGTGTTTAAATTTGTGTTCTAGACTGTGGAAGACAAAGAGGCAGGAGTAGGATCACCAGGGGAAAATGCTGGCTCTCAGGAATAGTAACAACTATTTTCTCTCTCCGAAAACCCTGGTCATTATCCTTTTTCCATCCTTGGGTACTCTTGATTTATTCCAGTTAGAACAGGATAAAAATGATACTTCAACAGGAGGCAGCAAGAACACCTAGAGATTCATGTTGGGGTTTCAAACTCCTTAACAAAGTTGCTGAGGCCTTTTGAAACAGGAAGTTGCTCCTCTGCCTCTCTCCCCCGACAAACAAAACCTACAGTCCAGCTCCTGCTTCCCCACCCTCAACAGCTACAGTCCCGGTGCATTTCAACTGTATTTCACAACCCCCTACATACATTCAGTTCTCCCACATTAGCTTTTGGGGTTGGTTTTAGCAGGGAAGCATTTCATTATCTTTTGGACTCACTTTTGTTTCATCACATGCTGTACTTGTACAAGTAGGGAAATTGTAAAGGCGGTTCAGTTTTTAAAAATTAGTAGTAAGACGAGGCTCCTGTAAAGAGTGGGGCAGTTTGTACATGCAATAATTATGCTCCATCCACCTTTGTGCTCTTCTCTGTAATGGATTCAAGTATTCATTGCCACTAGCACTGACTGATGTTTTTCCAGGATCTCTGACAGTCAAAATACTCACAATCTGACAAGTTACCAGTGCTGGGATTTGGGTGAAGAGCATATGGAAGAAAAAATTCCATCTTCTCCTTCTTCATGAGAACAGTTGAGCATGAAGCAGGCCAGCACAATTTAAACCTAAAGGCAAGCTGTGCACTAACACCACACATGAAACGGTCAAATTCCCAAGAACAGCAGCAACACTGCCTCTTTTGGGATCAATGCTGCCTTTTGTACATTTTGAAGGGGATGACAGAGTTACTAATAACTAGTGAGATTTTTTTATCAATTGCCAGTGGGGAGGCCCTAGCTTCCAAAAGAACTTCCATTATGTGTAACTACCTCTAACAAAAAAACCCTCAAATATTAAACCCTTTCCTGGAGAAAAAGAGGAGGGGGAAGAGAACAGGAAACAGTATTTAATTTACTTTAGCTTCAAATATTATCTAGCAATAGCCTAAATTAGCACAGTGAAGTAATAAAGGTCATGAATTCAGTAATTTTTAGGTTACCATAGTATATAAATATCTGAAAGACTTGCAGACAGGTGTTGTTGGCTTTCTAGTATTATTATTACTATTTTGGGAGGTTGGTTTTTTTTTTCCTTTTTCTTGTTGCTGGTATTTGTTTGGATTTTTTAAACTTCAGTGTCTCCCTTTAGTCTCAGAGCATGTGTGGGATATCTCACCTTTCTGAAAGATGTCTGTGTCAAAGCAAAGAACATCACAGACAGCATAAAACACCAATTCAGCATTTCTTTTGTTCATATTTTCTACAATTTATTTTGCCACTTCAAAAATGTCACATATCAATTTAAGAGGTGAAAAAATATTTTTTAAAAGCTAAAACTTTATCCTTTGTTAAAAAATAGTTAAAGGAATAACCTTCACCTGAACAGCATTATGTATGTTGAGGTGAAAGTATCAGACAGCAAGTGGACTTGTTTTATACAGGCATAATTCTTCTAAACAAGATGTTCCCTGTGCTCAATATGATTTACAAGCAACACAAAAGTTTGTTCATCCACAAATTCAACACAACTGCTCACAAAGAAAAAAATGTCAGAAAACATTCTGTGTGAGCACACCACAGAAAACAATGTGGCTAAGAAAAAAAAAAAGCCAGACAAACAGTAAGATGTATAGATCAGCAGGCAGAAAATACATGTTCAAGCTGGAACTTAACACAACATGGAAAAAGCATTTTTTTTATTACAGCCCTGCCCATCTGTGATTAACAAACAAAAACCAAGCACGCAGCATCTGTGTTCTCTCTTCTTAATGTCAGCTTACAAATACCACAAAGCAACTATGATCTTATACATCTTCCAAGGCAACACGTCGTCTTTCTGAAAGGCCAATGTATTTTGTATGGATCTAAAGATGGATTTGTGGCTGTCAAACACTCCATCTGGTTTCTAAACCTGAGCAAACACTGCTTTATTAAATAGCAAAATAAAAATATTTGACTTGGAACTAGACCCACATGTAATCAAGCACCAACAAGTAGGCATTTGCTACATTATTGGTATCTTGACACAACATTCTGTGTACAACTTTGGGTATCAGTTAGAACATCATGTCATCTAGCCCGTCCTCCATGAACTTCTTGTAGATTGCCATAAACTTTGCAACAAATGCTTCCAGATGATAAATGGCTTTGCTGCCCAGTTGCAGGCGGTGTTCATAGAAGGCCGCCATCTGTGCAACTTCTCCTTTCAGTTGTCCATCACAGTTATTTAGAAGTTCTGTCAGGAGGCCCTAAAATGGGAAAAAACAGGACAGTATTTGAAAAATCAGATATTTTTTGTTAAGAGGACAACTTTCTTTCTCTGAAAATAGCCAAGCTATGACAATAGTTCACTCATTAATCCAACAGCAGAGACATTCAAGAATCATTTACTGGAACTATTCATGCCTTAATAAAGAAAATAAATTAATCTCATCTCCAAATACTGTAACCTCTACTGCATGGAGGCACATGGCCCTGGGGAGAATTCTTACCACGATAGCAAGAGTATTAAAACCACTTACTTCTATCTTGACAGCATCGAGCACAAAAGAGAAACAGCATTTATAAAAAAAACAAGGAAAGGGCTTATTTAGAATTAAAGTGTATCTGTTTATATTTATGTGCAGACACAACAATACAACTTGACCACAATACTTTAGTCATTACAAAACCCCAAAACGCATTATTTTAGATCACAGACAGCAATAAAATCATTGCAAATCCATCTATATTAAAACAGTCAGGATTAAGTGAGAAGTATCTCTAGATCATTTCAAGTTTATGAAAAAGGAGAGGGTAGAGAATATGCACCTTTCGTCTCCCCAACACAGCAATGCAGGACGCACTAACCTACCATAACAAATGAAGGTTAAAGAAACATCTAACTACAAAAAATGTCAGAAAACAGAAATCAGTTAATGTGAAAAAAAAATTATATCTGAAGGCAGAGTCCACCTAGGTTAAGCTGCAAACATTATCTTTAATCTTTTTTCTGCTCTAGATGTCTTCAGCATCCTTTCATCATGCTTAAAATAAGAACATACACGTCCCACTTGCTTTTTTCCTCTCAAGATGACTTCTGTCTTTGAAAAGGCCTGCTGCTCTAGCATCCTTCAGCACATCTCTCATCTAGGACATAGCAAATACTGAATTTCTAACAACAAAACTTTTAAAAAACAAATCATATTTGATTTGATATGAAAACATATCATAGCCTACAGAATCATATCGTCATTAAGTTCGTAAAATACGACAAGATGATCAAGTACAACCTTTGATCGAATACCACCACGCCTACTAATCCATATCACAAAGTGCCAAGTGTACTAGTTTTCTGAACACCTCTATGGATGGTGATTCATGTCTATTTGGAAAGGACACAGTTTTCCGTTAATATTCAAATAATCTGCGATGTTTTGGTGTCGTTTTGTTTTTTTAACTCTAGTTGGGACTGTCATAGCATTAATATTTACAACACATTAAGAGCTAGACAGCTGAATTACCTTCATTATAATCTCGGGAGGAATGCAATGTGTCAAGAGTTCATAAAGCCGTCCACGGACCTCCAAAAGCCTATGGGAAAGACACCACAAAATATGAGAAGTATGACCCCAAAGCATTATAATGTATTTTCGCTATTTGTGAAACATGTTTCAGGAAAAAGTCAACCAAGCAAAGTTTCTTTTCTGCTTTTGGCTTTGCATGTTATTTTAAACCCAAAAGCATTGCACAAGTCAATTTCAATTCAATGCTGCATGTCACCTTTTACTCAAAAGACAAGTTACATATACTCTAGTTACAATGGTCTCAGTTAATCTAGAAGCTACAAGGCTATTAGAATTTGTCTCAGCCTTGTCTTCCTTTAATTCCTCTTCATATCCAAGTTATTATTCATGCTTAAGATTACTGAGGAGACACAAACAAAATTGATTAGCACCACAGGATTCCTTTATGCTGTTTTTCTGTTTCCTTGTTTATAAAAAGGGGTAAGATTATTAGGTGGCCAAAGTGACACAGTTACCAATGCTCAGCTTTTGGTATCAGGAGGTCAGACACTACAAGCATTTAAATTAAGTGACATCTCATGCCCCCCACCAAAAAAAAGACAGAAAACACAACATGCAACTAAGCCTAAGCTCACTTTTGATTACTAAGCTTCAACAGGAAAAAGTAATAGCTTTTTGTTTCCTGATACTCATTCAGTGTCCTCTGGCAATTTTAAAGCTCACTTCCTCTGGCTGCAAAGTACCACCTCCAGTAGAATTAACAGAAAATTACACATAACTAAAGATCACACATTTTTAAACTCAACTTTTTTTCTTTTTAGGTTCCAGAACACACCAAAAACATAATTTATGACTCTAAACAAGTCCATTCACCTACCTTTGTGGTGTCTGTTGACCAACAATGGCATTTGCAGTTTCTCTCAAGTAAACTTCCCAGTCCATCTCAGGAATGTCTTGATCAGCAGTAAAAGGATACCTACATAGTAATAAAATTTTTTAAAAATTAATATCAGAGCAAATTGTCACCTATTCTAGCATGGCCTTAGAATTAAGGTAATTCATATGTCTGACAGCATAATTTACACTAATTTTTGTGGTGACTTACTGTTGTACTCTGCAGCACTCACACATAAGTAGTGCTTTCCGAAGATTCCTGCCAGATTTCTCTGCAATCCTTTGAGCCAGTTCCTGAGGAAGAGTCAGGCCTTCTTTCTTACACACACTGGACAAGACATGGCAGATCTAGATGAAAAATGGATAGCAGGGAGTACAACGCTTAGCAGACCATTCAGCAACTACAGATTCTCCTGTTAGAAAGATTCCTGGACCAGAGATGGACCAGTCTTTCATAAGCCATGCTTGACAAGTCACCCACCACAAAGATAAGCTAGGTCAATATGTGAAAGTAAAATATCTCATAAGTCCACAGCAAGAACTTATCTAGTAGGATTTTAAAGTAATTTATTTTTGCTTCTATTTTAACATACATCTTCAATGCTGGGAGCAGGCACTCGTATAGCCAGGCATCTGCTTTGAATAGGTCCTATAATTTTTGACATGGAGTTGCAGCACAGGATCAACCTGCATGTCGCCATGTATTTCTCCATTGTTCTTCGCAAAGCATGCTGAGCATCTTTAGTGAGTTTGTCAACTTCTGTTAACAGCACCACTGGAAAAAGGATTAAAAACAGTGGGGTTTTGTATTAACATCAAATCTTTCTAAGAAAACAAATACTTTTGACATACAAGTGATAATACCAGAATAAATGATAATATGCAGAAGGCGGCAGTATGGTTCCACAGGCAGGAAAATAAAGACTAAGATAACCTGCGTGCCTTTTTTGACTGTACAATCTGCTCCTTCACACACTATATTCGTGTCCTGGAATGTCAATTTCTTAAGAGTAGGGCCTGCAATGCTTCAGTGCCAAGAAATAATCCAGATAGGTGTAGCAGCTTTCACCTTGATAACTAGTACAGTAACTTCTTATAGGAGTTTTGAAGTGAGAAATGGAGGAGAAGTTACGGCATAAGGATATATCAAAAAGCAAAAATTACTTGAAGACTCACCTCAATACATTTTATATCTAAAAGCCAATGTCTTAGCCTGACAAAGGAATAGTAAAAAGCTGCCTTATTATTGTAGTTGCAGCACCTTTCCATAATCTTTTAAAGAAAAAAAGAAAAATGTATTTAAAAAATGCTTCACAGCCATCAGGAGACACCTAATACGAAGCAGCCAACCTAACCAGCTATCTTCTGCAGGTTCCTCCATAGGCAACTGATAGATGGCTCATTTCAATACTCTAAATTGTCCAGAGCCTGGAGGAACAAGTCATCCCAGTATTCTTCTTCCACTTCTGGTTATACACACAGCCTAGCAATATCAGACAGCTTACAAGATATTTTGAGGTGTATGGTATAACTGCAGCTGTAAGGATATATACATCAATAACTGGTAGAGACAATCAGTGTCTAGCAGCTCAAGTGAAACAGTACTTTCTGAGAACAGCAAGACAGAACAGTAAGAAAATGTGACAAACTACTAAATCCATGAACATTTTCAGCTAATTTCTGCTCTACTATCTATCAAGATTTCCTCTCTCCTAAAATCCCATTATATAGTTCTGATTTTGCTTTCAAGTTAGTCATTGGGAGGAAAAATAAGCCAATTATAGCAACAAGTGCCTTGGAAAATTCAATGAAAGTCTCCTCATTTTCTTACTGAGTATCCCTCTGTACACTATGGATAAAAATCTTCTAAATGGGAATAGGTTTGTTTTTACCTGCATAATGCATGAAGGTACACACATGAAACAATGAGATAAAATTTCTGAAAAAAATCCCAAGTTTAAAAAGCCCTTCACTGGTTTTAACTGTTCTACGCACCTTTAAAATCTCGCTGAGTGCTTGTCTCAAGCTGTTGGGACTGTGCTACTGTCTTCAAGAGTTCCTGAATTACTACACGGTCATTGTTTCCCGCATCACTGTAACAGGAGTTTGAATAAATCTTATTTTAAAACAACTTTATATTGCATATAAAATATATCCCCCTAACCAACCCCCTGATCAACTGACTCAACAGGAAAATTCAGAAGCTGCTAGGGTTAGAATCAAGCTCAACATACATACTTTGTTGAAAGTTACCCTCCCAGTAATAAAAACAACCCAAAGCTTATGCAGGCACAGCTGGATTAGTAGCACTGTATTGAAAAGTAGTGAAACCATTGTCAAATTAACTCATAAAAATAGAACTTATTCTTCTGGGATAAGAAATCTAAACTTTTGTTACCTATGACCTGGACAAAGACAGACAATGTGAACACTTTTACTCATTATAGAAAGAACAATTAAGTCTAACAACATAATAGGATGCCTGACTCAACGGACTCAAAAGCAGGGGTTTTTTTCCCCCACAAAAACTAGATGTCATGCCATGAACAACCTAAATGCTTAATGCACACTTGAATGGCAGACACACTGAAGTTACAAGTTACTAGTGAAATACTGATACTGAGATACTATTACAGCATTAGGTTTGCTTTTTTCCTCTAGGAAGGCAGGAAAACATGGGAAATTCTAGACTTCCTCCTGCCCCTTCTCTTCACAATCCACTACAGTAGCATTGCACAGCTTTCTCAGTCCCCAGGTTATAGTAGCTCAGCTAGCTTGACTCAGATTTGACAACCAGAGGGGACTACTGACTTGCAAGGTGGACTACCAAAAAAGCAAGGCAAAAGGGGAAAAAAACACTGCCTATTTAGCATCCCAGACAATTGCCTTCACAGAAGCAGCAGTAGCTCTGCTATATTTCCCTGGTAAGCAAACGAAAAGACATTTGTCTGCGCTGTTCTCTTCGCCACTCAACCAGACCTTCTCCATTACTTCCAAGGAGAAGGCAGCAGAACAGAGAAAGGCGTATTAGCTCAACAATTCACAAAATGCTCCATGGGCTATGCTGACTTGGACTGCAGAGCTCTGTCCTTCAGCAAGGCAGCAGATCTTTGCTTTTGTATTTGTGCTGTAATCAAAATGAAACAAACCTTCTACTACAGTTCGACTTATGAGCTATGCCAGCTGTTAGAAATGGAAAGTGATTAAAATAGTGTTCTAATATTTAAATTATTTTCTGTAGCAACAGAGAACCCAGAGATATAATTTCATGGCAAAAGATTATCCTCGGTATTATGTGACCACATCAAACATTCTAGGAAAACAATAAACAAAGGCAGTTACCAGACAAGCATTTGATTTTTATTGCTCCTTATTCTTTAAGGATGCACTAAGTCAGCAGAACCCATTTTAAAGCATCTACCCAAGCTAGTCAAGTGACCAGAAGACAACGCTTTGGAATTCAGACAATATCCTCCTTTTGAAGGAAGGAGAACATTTCTGTTAAATGATACATTTCTATCTAATGTTAACTAAATTTAAGTTTCATAACACAGTCAGTATCTGCAGCATCCTTCCTAGAAATTCATTTCCTTTCCCCGTTAGCCATTTATCACATTCCATGTTGCTCAAGATGCACAACATCACCTCACAGTCAAATTTCACAGGCGATAGTACAGCACAGGCAGGTTTTACTGTCTGGTCAGACAAAAACATGACAATTGCTTGATATTTAAAGCCTATGAATCAATATATTGATTCTTAATCAAAACTCAGCACTACTATGATGTACAATAACCACTACACTAATTCTACACTTTCAGGATTTTTGTATTTAAGGTAAAATACAATTATTTTATATGAGATTAGCTTAGTTGGTTAGAGCACGGTTCTAATAACACCAGGGTTGTGGGCTCAATCCCCACATGGGCCATTCACTTAAGAGTTGGACTCGATGATCCCTTGGGTCCCTTCCAATTCAGAATATTCTGTGAAGTCTATGTTTCAAGCTCTAAGTATTCTCTGCAGTGTAACAGAAGAAGTATTGTAGTATCAGGTTATCAGAGCAGAAGACTGAATGGTGACACATTTCATACCATCAAAGTGACATATTCAGTTAACTACCAATAAAACTCTCAGCTTTTATTGACAAACTATTAATTATTTGTGTCTATTTTAGAACACCAGCAGATATGCACTAATCAATACACAGATTAGCTGCAGAACAAGATTTTTAAGGGGATCTGGCTCATGAGAATAGCTTCTAAAATGCAAAGCAGCATGAGCAAAGGTTTAGCACTAAGCACAAAGTTACTTCAGGGTACACATTGTCTTACAAGCGCAACACAGACAACAAAGCCAACATAACCAAGGTCTCCCAGTGCACAATGACATTCACTCTTATGTGACTTAAAGCAACATTACAGGTTTTGGGTAAATACAAGTTTTTAGTTTGGGTCAATGAACTATCTCTCACAACTGTCAATCAGTGAACTATCACAATTTCACAACTGCCAAAGAAGACATACAGTACCACATTATAGCCTCTGTTGTTTAAATCAACATCTGACCTCACTTAAGACAGGATTCACAGTATTTTGTGGTGGTCTTCTTTCTTGTACTTTAAATGCTTTATTTGAATAGTTACCGGGCAAACCTTGCTTACTTTTAAATTCTTTTAGTTTTGTACTTGTGAGAGAACTAACAATATGGAGGTGTTAGTTCCAATAAAACTTCTCAGTATCAACTGAAATGGTTAACTCTATGAATCCAGAACTGTTTCTATTACCCAGTCTTCAACAACAGCATGCTTATGTGGTTAGTTAAGCAGAACATTAGTGTCTTTAGTATGCAGCAATCCCAATTTCCGTTCATTTAGAGTTGTTCAATTAAAAATCCTCTCCCTGTTCTCATTTGATCAAACCCATAAACCATTATCTAATTTGCTCAGGCAACAAATTGCGCAATCAGTCCTTCATATGTCCAGGCTGAAACCACCTACAACATGACTATTAGCTTATCTTGGAAGTGAGGCATTTTTACTGTACACTTACCTTGGGTTAACTTCAAGGTGATAATTACTTGCAATGGTGCTAATTTCAATCTTCTTTTTTGAAGGTGCCTATATAGAAAGCAAGCATGTTAAGTTTCAGGAAGTGTTCTAAAAATCTATTTTACAGACTACAACAGGCAAACCAAGAGTCTCAGAGATAAAAGAACTGCTGAGACACTGGACTTGCATACCTCCTATGCCTCCAACCCCACCTCCAAAGGAAAAAAGGAGTACTGACACATCATCCAGCTGTAAAATAGCAACAATGATTATTATAGCAACACCTATTATAGTATTACTGCATACTCCAGTTACTCCAGAGTTTTGTAAAAGAAGGCTCGTTACTGGAATCAGTTGTTCAAAATAAGTGACACTTTGCCCATCCAAAGTAAAGTTTTGGAGGCAAAATTGCTGGACAAGCCCAAAGTGGCTATTAACTTCTCCTGTCAAAGAATTTCAAGTCTCTACTTTGTTTGAAGAAAACATTACTATTTATAGCAGCACTGAATTTGCATCCGAATTGTTAATTATATTCTATATTTCTATCATCCAGTTTAAATATATTATTTATTCCACCACTGAGAATTAAAAAGAAAACATTAAATAACCTATTTCTCAATGAAGCCTGATAATCCCTTCCTGGTTAAGCCTTCTACAGCAAGGATTTTTAATAGGTAATATATAAATGCCTAAGACTAGGGCAGATAAAATTTAAATAGATTTTTTTTTTTGCTAATGCTGAGATTGCCACTATGAGAATGAGAAAACTAGGTAAAACTTGCATATATGCAAAAAGCAATGCTAAGAATTTAAAAAATAACCCTTATTTCTACAGACAAATTAAATTCTATACATTTAATTCAGAACTAGTCTGTCACGACAGATGCTACTGTCCAAACCAATCTGTAGACAACAAATTAAAACCCCCACCCTAAACAAAATAACACATAAGAACAGCCAAACAGAAAACAAAAACCCCACATCCGAAGACCTACGGAACAAGAATATTTGGAAAACTACTTGTTCAAATAACCAAACTAGTATGATTAATTACATAAAGAAGTTTGAATATATTGAGTGGGGAAAAAAAATTAGTTTTAAAACTCAAAAAAATATAAAGGCTCACAACAGAAACCTGTCAGTATATCCACATTACTTCACAGCAGATGGGAGACTTATCTTTTACCGTTATACTCTGATGCTCAATCCTCAGTTTCTCCACTCCTGCACCATACAATTCCCTTAACAAGCACATTATTCTTGTCTTTTTTCCAGCTCCTGATGGTCCATACACCAACAGATGAGGAAAGTCACCACACTGAACCTGAACAAAAAGCAACAAGATTAGTTAGTTATAACAGTATTTTCTTTAGAAGAGAGTATGCATCCTTCCATTCTCATCCAAGTTTATGTTAAATGACTCTTCCAGCTCCATGATAACATAGTACATAGACTTAAAATTGCTGAATCCCTTTCCTGCAGCAACATTTCCTATAGAACATGTGTAACTTCTTTCACTTCAAACACTTCATCCCACAAAAAATTACCCTAAACAAACCAACAAACAACAAAACCCTCAAAAAATCCATCCCAGCATTTACATGCTTTCCAAGATTACTAGAATGACAGCTGCAATAAACACACGGTAAAAAGGCTTAAAAGAAAGATTAAAATAGACACACATACAGTTATGAGAGAGGGAGAGAAAATTACAGAGAATTAATTCGGAGTTTCACTTGCAAGTTTTGAATATAGGCAAAGGAGTAACAAGTAGCCTGTGTTTAAATTAAGTCAGGCTGGAAGGGACCCCAGTGGTTCATCTGATCCAACCTCCCTGCTCAGGTAGGGCCATCCCAGAGCGCATGGCATCCAGATGGTTCCCGGATATCTGCCGTGAGGTAGACTCCATAACGTTTCTGGACAGCCTGTTCCAGTGCGCGGTCCCCCCCACAGTAAAGAAGTTCTCCCCCATACTGAGGCGGAATCCCAGCTCCCGAGGGACCCTCCCTGCGAGGAGGAGAGGACCCGGAGGCCGCAGGGCCGCGGGCAGTTCCCGGCGGGAAGGTCGCCGGAGCGCGGCAGCCCGGGGCGCCCGTGCCTGCCTCACTGACCAAGTTACGGAGCCGCACCGCCTGCTCGCGGTGGAAGTCAAGGCGGCTGAAGGCGCCGGGCCGGTGCTTGTCGGCCCACAGGCTCATGGCGCTACAAAAGCCCGCGGCGCGGCGGCGGGAGGTGCGCCTGCTACGGCGGCCGCCGAGAGACAAACCGCATCCGTGGCGGCCCCGCCCCCGCGGCGCTCCCAGCCCGGCCCGGGCCGGGCGGGTGATCCCGGCGCCCCCGCTCGGTCCCAGCCGGCGCTGGGTTCCCCCCTCCCGAGTGACAGAACGAGCCCTGGCAGCAGCCGCCACTGCGCTCCGCGAGGGCTTTACCGAAACAGCCCCATACCAGTCACTGTGAAGGACGTTACACCCACAGCGAGAACCATCACACTGGTTCCCTGCCGGGGCACCGAGCCCTCCGACCCCCATTTGAAATCAGTCCTCTTCCGGGGTGTTTCACGGAATCACAGAATCAGTTTAGGTTGGAAAAGACCTCTGGGATCATCGAGTCCAACCTGTGACCAAACACCACCATGTCAACTAGACCATGGCACTGGGTGCCACATCCAGTCTTTCCTTGAACACCTCCAGAGACAGTGACTACACCATCTCCCCGGGCAGCCCATTCCAATGTCTCATCAATCTTTCTGTGAAGAAATTGTTCCTAATGTTCAACCTAAACATCCCTTGGTGCAGCTTAAGGCTATAAAGAGAGAGAGGGCTTATAATTAGACTGTAATTTGGAATATGCATTCTCCAAAACCCCACAACACCTAAAAAAGCTTGTATTTCTTTCTTGTTAGTTAGTGAAGACATCACTGTTATCTTATTAATAATGTCCATTGGGATCTGACAACACCCATCTTACCATTTTATTCGTGAAAACTGGATCTCCTGCGCTTGTCCCTTTATCTTACTTTGTTTTATGGCAAAACCAGCTTTCAGAAGGATTCAGATTGTTTTCTTCCATTGCTCAAAAACTTCTGCCGTGTTGCTCCACACAATTATATCACCAATATGTTGCAGGTGCTCCAGAGCTTCACCCTGTTCTAGTGCAGTCTGAATTAGTCCATGGCAGATGGCAGGGCTGTGTTTTCACCCCTGGGACAGTCGATTCTTTGGGCACTTTTCTGTGTCAGGGGAACATCTGGTCCTTCATCTTGGTGTTACCCTGGGTTTGCTGCCTCATTATAAATCAATGGGTTGCCCATCAGCTATGTATTGCACAGTGAATTTGCAAGATCCGTCTATGTGTGTGGCTTTATATATATGCATAATATGTATGCAGAGAATTACACAAAGCATATGTATGTAACGGAGAAACTCTCATTTTGTTTCTTTGTGTAGTATCTCTAATAAATTAAGCATCATGCACAAGTGATATTATTTGAAAGTAGAATTCCATGAAGTGATGAAATACAGATATGCATATAAACAGTCTGAAAAGTGTCAAGCCTAATTTTTTTATGATTTCTGTGAAAAAAATTATAGTTAGATGAAATGTTCATGTGACTATTCATGTTCTACCAGCTCTGTGTGCACATTTATTCACACAGAATGCATAAGGCAGGTAATGGCTTCACTAACCAAGACATTCAAGTTGCTCATAAAGATCACAAAAACCTACTGGGCGCACCAGGTAGTAGAGCACTTCCATTGATACCATGTTACATGTTTATCTGAAATAGTTACATTACTTACTTTCATAGACACTCAATAATGAGCTTTATTTGCAGATTGTCATGAATTAGCAAATTCAACTACCTGAAAGGAGGTTGTAGGCAGGTAAAAGTCAGGCAACTAGTGACAGGACAAGAGGCTACAGTCTTAAGCTGTGCAAGAGGAGGTTTAGGTTAGACATTAGGAGGAAATTCTTTACAGAAAGGGTCATTAGACATTGGAATGGGCTGCCCAGGGAGATAGTGTAGTCACTGTCCCTGGAGGTGTTTAAGGAAAGACTGGATGTGGCACTCAGTGCCATGGTCTAGTTGACTTGGTGTTGTGTCATAGGTTGGACCGAATGATCCCAGAGGTCTTTTCCAACCTGATTGATTCTGTGATTCTCCTGTTACTGCTTTGTCAGCACTGTCCTGGTATATGACCGAGTCTGCGAAAGCTGCAGCAGCAATAACCTGCGCAGGGCTTACCTTCACATCCTTTGTTATACTCAACACCATAGAGTGGCCTGTTCCTCTGCCATTTTCTACGTTCGCATTTTGTGGGTCTACAGTGTTTCTCATGTGTGCCTGTTCTCTCTGCTCCACATCTGTGTTCTTCAAAGTAATCTCTGAATTTTACCATTAATTTCTTTGGTATCCTCTTTGGTTAGCTGTATTTATAACTTGCCTTTTTATGCTTTTTCAGATCCTTAGCTCATTTACCTGACTTTTTAATAATTTCTGAATGATATGCTGTTCTTCTTGTGTCTGTCAATGTCATGCTTAACTTAATTGCAACTTCTTGATAACTCCTTATAACCTACGCAGTTTTTCCAACCTCCAGAGAGTTTTTGCTAACATATGCCAGCTTCCAGCAAGAGCTCTGACAGATACTCCAGGCTTTTAAAGTATCAGTGAAAACAAATCCTTTTTGAATGAGATCAGACTTCAGCAGGCATGACTCAGTCCAGAAGGCTTTTAGATACTTTCAGCTCCCAAAGAGATCAAGGAGTGAAGGCATGTAGCATCTCTGAAATGCCCTAGTCTCTTTTTATTATTAGCTCTATTTATTATTAAACTTCCATAGTATTTCTTCTTATCCTGAGAAGAAAATCTTGAAAATTGTGCCCTACTTCAGCAATGGATTTAAACATGGGCTTACACTTATGTTTTCAGTAATTTCTTGCTATAGAAAGTAATTGGGCAGATGAACAAAATTAATTTCTTGAGTAAAAATTTTATCATTTTAAAACTTGGTCCTGCTTGAAGCATTGCAGTTGTGGCACTTTATATCTGATTAAAATGAGCTATAATGCTTTGATTTTCTGCTTCATTATTTTTTTAACTTCACTATAAATGTGAACAAAAGTAAGTAAATATCTAAAATGGAATGGTTTGGCCAATTATTTTGCAAATAAATTAATGTGAATAATGCAAGACACTGGCAATTTCAGCTGCAGTCACAATTCACTCAAATACAAAGACTGTTAGAATACGTCTTCACTCATTTTGTTCAGTCCAACAGAAAGGTCAAAAGGTAAAATGACTTCTCTGCATGAATAAGCTAGACGATATATCTGAAAATAGAGATTTTAACTACAAATGGCATTTTGAGCCTCTTACTACCAGCAGGCATGTTATTAGAAAGTGACTCAATGTCAGGCACTATAAGAGAAGCTCCATCTTATACCCAAATTGAAGTAAAACTGTAAGACCTGAGTCCATATATATATATATATATATAATATATATAAAGTAGTTTTTAACCAACTTTAAACTATTTATTGAAACAGTGCTAGAACAAATTAGAGCATTATTCTAATGATCTCCTAAATATCTTTACAACATGATTGGTGGTGCTAGTGATCCAAGTAGCCATTAACAAGTCCAAGTACTATTTTACTGTACGACTTGTTTTTTCCAGACAGAAGACTGTTTGGCTTCCTTTGATCCTTCAGGCTGTTTAGCTGACTGAGATAGATATTTCTTTTCAGTTTCAAATATTTTAGCAGATCATCGCCACTCTGTTGGCTGTCACTCCAGGTTGTGTCACTCTGTCCCCATCAGAGCACCTATATTGCTGCAAGAAAATTGTAGCATGTCAAGAAAGACCAGATCATTATTATAATGCAAAGAAAACAAAACCAAAAAAAAAAAGACCATAATAAAGTGACATCTGTTCTGTTGGTGACATGCTGATGTCATGCAGATTGAGTATGACGGTGGAAGAAACAACATTAATGGTGATAGCCAAATAAAAATCTAAAACAAACATATCTCATATAGATTGGCAGCATTAAAGAAGCCACTTCTTTATAAGAGATGTAAAATCGAGAAATCCTTTTTCTTCAAGAGTCTTATGGTTTGTCTTACAATCCGTTATTTAATCTGGAAAATTAAAGTAATAAATACATCATAGAAGTTTTCCATGCAGGATGAGGCAAGCTAAAAAGGTGTAAGAAGATATGTTTTTATAACCACTGGAAGTGCATTCTGGAAAAGGCTACAAAGATAACATTGAATTGGAGGATACATTGGAGGATACATTCTGTCCATCAATCATTACTGTAAAATCTTTCGTACATTTGTCCATATGAAAAAGATTAAATAAAGCCCTTTCCTAAAGATGTGGAAAGATGAAAATAATTAGGTGTATTTAAAAAGCAACAACAACAAACCAACCAACCAAACAAAAAAACTTACAACACTTGTTCTGATTTAATCAGTACTTCTTCATGTTCTGACTCCTGCTGCTAAGGATCAGATCCTGTTCAGCTTCCCTAGTGTCTAATGTGCCTGGAGAAGTAGAAGAAAAAAAGACGAGGTATGTTTTTTGTTCTTATGCTCTCTGTGGTTTCAATTGGGCATAGCTGTGCAAACCTAAGACCCTTTTTTTCCAACATTAAGAAGTGTCCAACTACACATTTAAGCAAGATTTACAGCAGCATAGTTAATCATGATAGAAAAACATAAGGGAGTAGTTGAAATTGTTTAAATAGACTGAACATAAATTCAAACATCTGTCTGGGGACATGTAGAGTTACAGATCCTTTCTTCAGATGAACTACTGCTATATTGAATAAATACCCATTTTCTACTGAAGGTTTTGATAAAAATCAGAGCGGTTTTCATATGTAATTTAGGTCTTTCCCCCTGAGTTTTATGAGGTCACTGACTAAAAGATACAGTCATGTGCTTGAGTTTCTACGAGCCTGCATTTTGCTACAACAGAAGAACTGCAACAAAGGACGCTCTTGTCCACTTAGGATTGAAGATTTGAGTTTAAGTCTCCTGAAAGTGTTCTGAAAATGACTCAATATGTTAAGAAATATTCAACATTCTTTTCTGGGTGTATTCTAAATAAGACTTATGGAAACTAATTGTGAAGCTCTTTAAAGAATAGTATACTGTCAGATATTTGAATATATGAAGAAATATTGGTGCTTGACTTGTAATTAGGAATCAGTTTTGTGAAGATGTTG